TAATTTTACTTCTAAATAAATTGAATGCTGTTCTTTCGTGCTTCTTTCAGTATATTTTGCCGATGTTGGTTGCCATGTAATAGTCAAAGATGTAGTTTTTCCAACAGTTAACATAGCTTTATCAAATTGCATGAAAATACCGGAACATTCAAGTTGCTTTCTTTCTAATTTTTTTATTGCAACCTCCACATTCCAAGGCCCGTAATTGATAATCATTGTCGAATAACATGTTTTAAGATCGATTGTAACGTAACCCATGTCTAAAAATGTTTATTATATTATTAATTACTTCATTTTGAGCGTTGCCAATTTTATTTCGTAATAACCTAATAATTTATAAATTAAATTGTAGTTAACTTTGGAAATAATTAATTATAGTTAATTAATTTTGAAATAATTAATTAAAATCGATATTCTTTATAAATATACCTATGATATATTCAGGAGTATAGAGAAAAGGAATAACATCCTTCTTATGTGAAATAGGATGTTTTATCAAGACGGAAATATTCTCTTTGATAAATCGAGATGCCAGAAATCTGTCAATTGCCATCTCGATATCGATAATACTAGGAAATATTTCATCATATGAAATCAAGTCCCATCCATCATCTTTAAAACAATTAATAATAATTAAGATATTTTTATTAATTGAACGGATTTTATATTCAATTATTCGTTTTGTTACTATCTCAAAAACTTAATCATTGTTCGGACTTACTTAATAAAATTCTCTCATCCCATTTAGGCACTTGATTTTTTGACATGTTATTATTCGTATCATTACATTGTGTTCTTATTTCTTGTTTTTTCTGCAACGCAAAGTATTAAAAGAATTTCATTTTTATATATGACCAAAATTTCGTACCATTACAATGTAATCAGGAGTTTGTAATTGGATCGCCCAATATCCAAACTTTACAGAGTGTTGTTTAAAAACTTCGCGTGAAGTGCAGAGGTAAATTTGAGAATAACTTGTAACACCTTTCGCAGTAATTATCAGTGGATCCAAATGAGCCACCTAAATAATAATGATGACGTGCAATGATATAAACTTAAACTATGTAGTATGCAATTAAAGTATGTGATATAATAACACACGTGCAATTCAAATTCTATTTCGAAAACACCAAGCAGCATGGGTTGAAACTCTATTGTAATTTCTATTGACAATAAAGGATCTATAGATCCTTTATTTGGCTTGATTGTCAATGCAGCGATCTTTCCTGCGTCAGATATTAAATTCCTCTTATTTATCTTATATTTCAGGAATATTCTACTGCGATTTTCCAAAGTAAAGTTTGACCGACACAGTTCACCGAATAACTGTAAATCAATCAATTAAATATTATTAAATTTTATAATTTGAATATTAAATTATAACTAAATAATGAATTAAAATATTGATATAATATATATAATATATTATAAATATTCTACGCTGTTTCTCGTAATCAAAATTCCAATAAAGATACAAATTAATAATAAAATACAGATATTATTTGAAAGAAGTTCAATGATAATATTCAAAGTGAGAGACAATTCACCTGTTGACCGAAGTCGATGACCTGTCTATCAACAGAATATTGAACGGTATCGGCACTAGCAAACACATTAACTATCTCGGTGGGTCCTCGAAAAATTTCACAAAGCGCGATAACTTTGATCTGCATAGGCTGGCTACCGTGAAAGATAAAGCGCACATATTGCGAAGAATATGGAACGAGAGTGCCTTCGTGCGGGACGATATCAAGTATCTGGATAACATATTTTACGAAATTAACTTTAATATAAATTAATGATTTATCAGGAATGTTTAATATTTGTAAAATGAAAATTAATCGGAAAAGAAATTTTACTGAGAAAAACGGAACTAACATCATCGAGTAATTCTTTTGAAGAAAGTTTGATATTGGGATCTATTAGAGCAAGAATCTTTGGATCATCTAAGTACGATGAACAAGACACCTCTGTTGTCGAAAAAATACTTCTTAATTTTTCAAGCATTTCATCTAATGTTTCTGAGTGAACATCCATTTGCGAACTTTCCGATTCTAATTTTTGCAGTTCTGACATAAAAATATATACAGATAATATATTTAATACTTGTATAAATAATATGACAAATATAAAAATATGTATACAGATGATATATTTAATTATATGACAAAAATATAAAAATTTACAACAGCTTTTATAAATCGCGTCATATATAAATAAAGTATAGTAGAGATTTAATAAAAATTTATGCAATGGACCATATATTAAATATATAAATTATTATTAATATTAAAATAATTATTTTTAGAATAGAAAATATTAAATAACATATATATATCCTAATTTTTTAAACAGATTATTTCGAAACAATAATAAGAAAGCTACAGCATAATATAATTATATAACAAAAATATCTGCAAAAGCATTAGTTTTTGAGATATAAAAATTTAAAGATAGCTTATGATTAATCAACTTCAAACTTATATTTTAAAAATGATTTTTTGAAATGTAAAATTACAATAGTTACTAATTCGATTGTTAATTACAAGAATTGATTAATTACGCGAGTTATAATTGCTTGTAATATTTGTAGGAACTGATCGCGTTTGACAGTTGTTATCAAGATTGTATTTCGAGAAATGTAATTGATATTTACTCGCTTTCTCACTACGAGTATAGAAATAAGGTAAATAAACATTGTTGATACGTCGCGATGTATATCGTTTTGTTGACTTTCGCGCGGTGACACTCTAGCATACAAACAATAATGCAAGTTGCTTCATATATCGTCGCATAATTTTTTATACATTTATATAATTCATATAATTATTAGAATTACTATAATTAATAATTATCAGTTCGTCGCTATATAATGAAATATAGTGCAATAATAGTTTAATAATATATAATTCATGTTGCGTGTGAATAATATTGAGAACCTCATGCAAAGTATCGCCATCGTCATATTCTGTTGATTGTATTCTGTGTAATTAACCATGTTTTCGCTGCGTGTCATAAAGTGTCATAAAAGAGTAGCAAAAAATGAAGAAAAAAGAAAAGGAAAATTTAGAGAGGTTGATGGAACAATCATTAATAAATTAGTTATTACTTATTACTTATAAAATTAATTGCCCGTTGCTTTACGGTAGTGATTTATTTCTAATTATCTCGTATAATATCACTTATAAAATTTTTGATTTTATTTTGAAATAAAATATGTATATAATAAAATATTTGTACCAATTAATATTTTTATACATATGCGTATACAATATTTAAAAATAAATAAAAAAATTGGAATTGCGCATATAATAATTAATTATATTAATTATTTTAAGCACTACTTTTTATATTTAAAGTATACCTGATCGAATTGTTTGTGTGATATTCGACAAAGATTCGTATACAGGCCAAGTGTGATTATGTGTAATTTTATTTCCGTGTAATGATAAATTAGATATTAGATAATGCGAAAATATAGATGTGTTCTAGCAGTTATTATAGCTTTTGATATATGCATACCGTATGACGTTGATAAATTCAGCGTTTCTGTAGATTCGCTTTCATTTTGCTGAGTTTCTAAATTCCTTTTGACCTGACAAAAGTGATGACTAAACTTGTATTTTGCATTAGTTCCTAGTTTTGGAACATCTGTATAGTCCTGTTAAAAAGACATACATATACACATATGTATATATACATATATAAATATGCTGTCAAATTTATTTAAAAGTATAGAATTAAATTATTGAAAGCAGCAAATAATTAGCAAATATTAATTCTTTCTCTATATAATTATGTATTAATAATTATAATTTGACAAAAATTTACTTCAATGTCACATATACCTTTCGTTGAATTTCAATACTTTCTCCAGCCCAAAGAAACTTGTATATTACAGGGACTGGTCCATTGTTAGTTATTCTCAAATTTTTCTGAACACTTAAACCCGAAACGCAATTGATAATCAAATCTTTGCAGTGTAATTTAATATTTGGGAAATTTACGGCACCTTTGCATTGGATTTTATCCTAAAATAAGTAAACAGTTTCCGTGCATAAAATTGACTTATAAATTAGCAATAAGAAAAAACGTACCTTATTAGGATGTTCGTCATATTCGAACCAAAGCGTACCGCTATAATTTCGCGAATAAAGATTATCGTGATTTATATTTGGCAAAAATTTCACTGGAATTGATATAGTACTTCCGTCCATTAGAATGATTTTTCTTTTATGTATTAATTTTTTCTTATCGATTATTAAATAAAAAGGAGTGTCAATGTATAATAGAATATTCAAATTTAATCGCGATTGATTTGTAATGACTAGTTCGTCTAAAAACAACAAATTAAAAATTATTATTATTATATTTTATTTAGCATAATATTTTATACGTATAAAATTACATCTAAATTTAAATATGTAATATAAAAGTTTTTAATTATATTACATAAAATAAACTTTAACATCAAAGTACGTCGTAGATGTTCTACGAATGTGATGAGTACTAAATTGCATAATTCTCTCGTATAATTTATCTTGTTAAAACAGTTTTGAGCACACAGTACTACATTACGATTTTCTCTACCTGTCTGTTGCAATTCTTCTCCCTCGGGACATATATCAATGCGGAACGTTAACTCTTTTTTGTTGAACGCGATTCGTGGCTCCGTAAAAGTGGCTTTAAATATAGAAGTTCCAATCAATTCTCGTTTCCCTTGTCCAGAAATCTGTCCGAATACGTACCAATCTTCTGTCAAAATCTCATTGCTTTAATATAAAAACGTACTTATAAAATTAATATTAAAAGTTGTAATTATAAAATTGCAAAAATATTATACTGAAAAAATTTTTTGATAAAAAAAATTGTAAATTTAAGATTACAATTTTAAGAAAATTGAGAAAATTTAATGACTATTAATTTTTAATTTTAATTAAAATTATTTTTATTATCTATATATGTATATTAATAATTAAGAAATAAAGTCTAATCGGAACTTACACGTCCCAACATATTTTACATTGAACTACATTAGAACCATTAGCTGGAATTTCTACAGTGAGTGGTTCAATCTGAAACTTCTTCCTATAATATACAATTTTTAGCATGTTATGATAAAATTTAAATTATTGCAATAAAGCTTATATGATTACGTTGGCCATCCTTGGCTTCTTTGAATGCGTACTTCTGGATCGTTTGACCATATTATTTGGCAATGACGCGAGCCAAAGTTTTTCATTATTATTGACAGATTATGAGTTTGGTGGCTGTTAAAATGATTGAATATTAAAAAAATAATAGTTTTTATATTAAAACAATGTATATTAAAAAATTAATTTTTACTAATGCTTGATCATTAAATTAATTAACATTCTCTCAATATTCTTTACCTAAAGAGAAAACCCAAGTCAAATACTGGAAACAGCTGTGGCTCAAAAACGATACTACAACCAATCCCAGTCGCAACTACATTAACGGGAATTGATCGACTGTTGATGATATGCACGATTATATTGTCAATGTATTTACCAGTGTCGCATAAAAATATTTTAACTTCAATTTCCATAGATCCGTTCGGTTCAATTTCACCAGAGGCTGGCTCGACAAGCCATGCTGATTTCTTTTTACGCTGAGCAATAATAATAAAATAATTTTATAATGTAACTTTTCTTCCATTTTTTGTATATTCTGTAAACGCATTTTTTTAAAGCATTTATTCGAAAAATATTTACTGATATTAATTTGAATTGCGCTGGTATCGGCGAGTCGTTAATTATGCGAAAGTTCATGACTTGATTTTGAAGCACTTGTATTTCTCCGAAATTGAGAGACGTAGGTTGCACGGATACTACTGGTCCTTGACCAATACATATAATCGTACAAGATATAATTGGAGCCTCCTTACCCATTGTTAGCATACTGAAATGAAAAAAGTATAATAAAGTTTTTAAATAAGAAATATATATAATATTTCTACATCTAAAAAATATCTAAAAAAAAATTAGAATTTTTTCTTATTTTTCATTAGAAGATAAATAATTATTTTTTATCACTTTTATATTTCAAAGATTATTATATTGATTATTGTACTTTAACGTAGTTGTTTGTTTTCCCAGAACTTTGGTGATAATAGCAGCATCGATCGTTTTTGATTGTCGTGCTTTTAATAAACCTTGATAAGATGACAGTGAATATACTATGGGTATATTCTCGGATATCTAAAGAACAAAATACATTTAGTTTACATAGTTAAATTATTTAATAACATGTATACTGAACAGAGCGATGTGCTGTTGCTATGCTTAACTTTCGAAATTAGTTTAACAATAATTACTGCCTGCGGTATTATATAGAAGTATCCATCCAAGTCAGAATTGTTCTCCACGTTAATAGAACGAGCATAAGGGAAGTTGATGAAAGCAAATCTAATAGAAATTTCTGCAGGCTTAATCGATAGAGAGGGAATCGCACCACAAAATGATATCGGTAGTATTACTGGATCCGAGTCAGAATCCCACATGTCGACTCGAATATTCGAGCGTGTACTTCGAACTATGTTTGCTGTATATGTCACCTATATTTTAATGTAGAGTCATAAAACGCTCTATATTGATTATTTAATTTCACAAGAATTGCAAAATAATTAAGGAAGATAATATTAATTTTATTAGTAATTCTCGTTTTTTAGAATAAATTGAAGAGATAATAATATGATAGACAAATACGAATCTTCGGGTATTAATATATATTAGAAAATATAATACATTGCTCTTATGTTAATTTATTCTTCTAGTAGTAAACTATGAAGACAAAAAAGAATATTAAGAGAAGTGTATTGTATTTCCTAATATGTGCATCAGTATCCAAAAATCAGTATATTTGTTTATTGTATTATTATTACTTGGATATATTAATTTTATGTAAATGTAAAATGTAATTCTAAAAATGGGCAAATTAGCCTTTTCCGTGCAAATCTTGTTATAAACTAGATGTTTGAAGACGTTATTCATTTTACTCTCAGTTTAAGTGAACTATGCGCTTGCACCACTCCTTTCTGTGGAGTAATTGTAAACTCGCGAGGATTAGTCGGGAAACTTGGTTTCGCTTCAGATATAGCAAACTCTTCGTAAGTCAGAGGTGTTTGATCTCCATCTTCCATCACAGTTACGCTAAACGAAACCGGAACCAACGATAAATTACGAAGATTTACTTCTTGTTTTTTGCTAAATCCTGCAAATATATGCAAAAAGCTCCTGATTTTTATTCAACTCAATACATCAATTGGATGCAGTTATGCAATATGGAACCTACACCACCAATTTTTTTATTTCAAGATTTTTATTGCAAATTAAGTTTGATACATTCTGAATGTATCAGGCACAATTTGCAATTAAAATCTTGAAATAAAAATTGATGATTGGGTCTATATTGCATAACTGCATTCAATTATAACAAGCATACCTAAGGCAACTGCGCCGAAATCAAGACTATTCTTGTCAAAATGTAATGTTGGGCATATGATGCATCCTCTATAAATAAAAAAATTTCTATATTTACATTTATATAAATTTATATTAAAACTTATAATAAATTAAATAGAAATTTCTGTGTGTAGTGTGTATACAATATTAAAATTAAAATAAATTGTAGATATCGGAAAAATAATATTTTATAATGCTTCTTATAAGCAAAGAAGAAATAATTTTATATATGTTTAATAAATTAAGAAAATATGACACACATATACATACACACACACACACACACATATATAATTATACATTGTAATATTCACAATTATAATTTATAATTATTCAAAAAATTACAAAATAAGAATTTTTAGTAACATTTGTCAAATTTGAATATCATACTTGATATGTAAGGATAATATTTCCAAACTTTCTTTAACGACAAAGTCGATTCGCTCTATAAAGTCTCCTTTTCGATTTGAAGTAAATGATAAATTAAATGACTTATACTCGTCTGGTTTTAATATTAGAGTGCATGGAGTAATATTAATAGTGCCACCAAAATCTGTTGGTCTTGCTTTATAAATTAACGTACCACAAATATGCCCTTTATTCGCCGCTACAATCTAAAACAGATTGCAAATAATTTAAATTCTCATAATTTACTGTGCAACTTAACTTTATATATACATATAAGAAAAATAATTTCTAATAGTATCAATTTTCAATAAATATATTTTATTACAGATGGTTCTAATAATGTTGCATAACATTCTGAAAAATAAGAATAGATTTTTTATAAAGTTTCTATTACGTTTTACATTATAAATTTTTTATATTGCAAATAAATTTATTGGACTACCTCGTAATTATGCACAGAACACAGGAAAATATTCTTAACGTCGATAGTGATTACATTGAGATGGAAAACTGGTCCTTTGCCTGTTCCGTAAAGACTACCATTGAAACGAAAAATTAGAGGGAAAATTCTAAGACGAGAAAAAGTTTCTGAAAATAATGTTATGCCAGTTCTTTTGTAACCTCAGGGGTATTCTGTCCTCGCGACCTGTGACTTCAAGATAAGCGACGCTCGATATCTCGCCTACTTCTATGGCTCGAAAAAACACTGTAATATCTGCGGAAGATTGAGGCCAAATTTCGCCTTTCTGAAAAAAGTACATTAGGAACATCGAAAAGAATACTAAAATTAGACGGGATACTCAATATTAATGAAAATTTTATAATATTCTATATAGAATCTTAATATTTATTTAAATAGTATCTTTTTATTTGAATATTTTCTAAAAAAATATTTTTAAAAAATATTTTACATTATTTTTGCAACTAAAGATAATTTAAATTATGTTTACAAATAAAAAAAACATTCAAAGAAATTAGAATTTTCAAAAATCTAATATATTTTTAAATAAGAAACGAAAAAATAAGCAAGATAATTATCATATAATTAAGGTATACATATAACATTTTCAAATTGTAAGAACTGTGAAATTTATGACAAAAGCTCACCTCAGGCATTAGAAGAAAGGACATATGATTGTAGTGGAAATTCTCATTCATTAAGGAAGCAATCTCGTCCGTGTAAATCCGCTGGCAGACAAGCTCGTGAATATCTGGCAGGCAAATATTGTAATGAACAAGATTGACACAACGTACCATCTCCACATTGTGCACTAATTCAAATAATGTTTTATATCTGCCACAAAAAGAACGAGAAATTATAACAGTGGAAAATATGAAAAGTTTCTTGCAAGAAATAATTCTTTACGCTTACTCTTCCTTTCGTTGTAGATCAGCATTTTTGTCCCTGAAACGCATCCATTGAAATCTCACGACATAGTCGCTTCTATTGTGAATCGTTAAGAGCTTGCTTCTAGACAAACCTAAATAAGTATCTTCCATTCTTACACTACCTCTATTAATTCGAATCGTGCAGTTTATCGCTGAGCTTCGTAATGTTAAGCAAAGCTTTTCTCCTATTAATAATTTATATTGCGTTACGATAAATGCATGTTTTTTCATATACTTTCAATTTTTAAATACTCTCTCTTTTTTATATTATTAATCGCTTGTAAATACCTGATTCATAATTAAGAAAAAGCTTTGCTTTGAATTCGCCAGATTTCTCGGATAAAAAGTTCGCAGTAAGTTGCATAGTTTCTTCTTCTTTTAATATGCCTTTTGACGGTTCGACGGAGAAATACGGACTAAAACATAGTATATAAATTGTATATATACATATATACATATAGATAAAATTTTATGCATATATCTAGATTCAAATATAGCTTATCATCAAACATAGATCGTTTATATTTAAAAAAATCATTCTTTCGTCTAATAATTAATTTTATTTAAGGTATTTTAGAAAAGTGTGAAATATTATTTAAGAGTCTTTTAATTTTATACATTATAATTTATACTTTTACATATATTAAATTTAGTTGTAAAATTATTTAAACAAATATAACATACTTATCTGAGCAAAAATTGAAGATTGCCGGCATATCTCCTACGTTGCGCATCAAAATAGTCTTCGAGGAGAGAATTTTTACCGCGGTGGCTGGTATTTCGATTCGATCGGGGATATCTAGAATAGGTCTCGGGCCGATAGCTAGAACAATATTAACTTGACCTATATTATTCCGTCTTACGTGCTCTTTTACATATGTACAACAATTACATTGTATACATGTATAATAATTGCATAATAAAAGTAATTTGCTTTCTCACCGATAACCGGCACCGCGAAGATTTCGATATCGTTGACAAACTCGATACGATATTCGTAATCTCGTTTCTCCGTCGGATTGAACCTGACGTTATAAACGTGGACGAGTCCTGGCGCTACTATGGTACTATAATTCGACCCGTGATATTCTACGGAAAAGAAGGGATCGGGATTGCGCGAGATCTTCAGGTGTCGTGACGTCTGTGATGTGACATTTAAAAAGGAGGGTTTCAATTTATGAATATTGTATAACTTGAGGCATCACATGATTCGAATTGTGTATATAATGCATTAAAATTGTAGAATGGAGGAGATTTTTACTTTTGTCATGTTTCGAATTGTGAGCATCGCATTGTATATGTTACCAGGAACGAATTGTTGAAAGAGAATAATGCGGGGTGTAGCTTTAAAGCATTGGCTTTCGCAATTGTCGTACAAAGACCGTACGTTTATACTGCGACCTGGTTTAAGTAAATACTCGATCCTTTCTTGAGTGCTCATCAGCATCTGTTTGATGTATTCCGAGGGAATCATATCATTCTGCAAGAACATTAATGAAATTGATAAACGTTGCATAGATATCAGAAATTCTCTATACTATACACAGACAATTCTATATTTCAAACTAACTTCTTGTTCTCTTTGATCTGATGATTTTATACTGCTTAAAACCATTAATATTTCCACAGAATTATGCATAATTGGATAACATGTAGTTAGATTTCTTTCCTCCTCATTCATTCTTTGACATTAATATTCTATGAAGATGTTTTACAAATTCTCTCTCTCTCCTTTCTCTGAATATAAAGATTCTATCGATTGTTAATTGTAATTAAAATAATCGACTATTATTAATCAAAATATCATCGAAAATAGTACGCACTGAAAATAGTAGAATATGTTACTGCATTGCATATTGCATTTGATGTCTAAAATCGATTTATCGATTGTACATTGAAGCATTTTTCAATAATTATATTAATCTATATGAGAAAAGTAAAAAATGCATAAATGTGTATATATATATATATATATATATATATATATATATATATATATATATATATATATAGTTATAAAAATAAAATAAATGTAAGAAAATAAATTTTAAAATTATACGAAAGTATTAATAATAGGTATATAATTTTCTTAGGCAATCTGGATTCTTTGATTTAATTTATTGATATATAATTGAAATAAGAATTATATTATTCTCCATATTTTATAATTCATAGATTGTATTTTCATTTCGAAATTCTCTCTCTACACATTCCAAATTATTGATTCCAAGGCGATACAATCGATACACGATTATAAGAGGGAGGACAAGAGTTCTGTTGCAATTCTGGTTGACAGCGACGAACGGGATTCGAATAAGTGCCACTTCGGGCAGTCTGAGTTTCTCGATTTATGTCTATCGATGAAGAACCGCAGGGATACGCCAAGCGATTCACATTACGCGCATAGTTCTTTAAACAACATGGCACGTAGCAACGAGGCGAAGGTTCGCGTGGCATCTTCGACACGCAGCAGGGATCACAGATTCCTTTTGAACAGCACATCCCCGGACAGGGTCCTAGGGGACATCCTAAAGGGGGGCAGCTCAAGTTGCACACTTCAGGCTCGGGTTTTCTGCCGAACAGACAGGAGGGAACATTCTGTGAATATCTATCTATTTCATGAATATATTCGAAAACTTTATTTCATCGGACATACATATTCTGTATTTAATAAATAATTAATTTCAGTAAAATATATAATCAAAATTGCAAATATATACTTACAAACTTTCTATTTCGCGTATAATATTGTACATTTCGTCCATAAAATTTCGCCTTTGCTTGTTCATGTTAAATATACTTGTTCAATTTTATATAAATTTTAATACCAGTATATCAAAAATATCTTGTGCACTAAAATTTGAAAGATGGATATTGACAAATTTTTCCCTGTCACATGTGATAATCGATTTCGTATTGTATCGCTTACTTCGCACTACTATTAAATCCTATTTATCGATTCTTCATTACATTATATTGATTATATGATATAAAAAGAAAGGAAGAGAAACTAATAAATTTATTATTGCAACAGAGCGTACGTATAAGTTTTGACACAGTTTTTTATATTTATTTATTACATTCTCAAAAATTGTGAACATTTTTTGATAGTATTTTATGTTTGAAATATACACAACATAATATATCGAGAAATAGAATGCCCACACATATAAAAACACATACTCGTATATAATATAAATAAAATCAGAAATTGTAAATTTGCAAGGCATATTAACATAAAAAAACATGACATCAAAATACATATAAAGAGCATATTATACTTAATTATGAATATTTTATCGTATAATTAATTTGCTATATAATTCACATAAATAATTTAAATATAAAAAAATATAATCATATATGTATATACAAACATATAAATTACAAACTCATATATTTTAACTCTCTTGCGTTAGAATGTGATGATTAATTTAAAATTTTTAATATTTATCGAATTCACTTATTAAATGTAAAAGCCTAATAAAATATGCATAAAATATTATATTTGTTATATAAAATAAAAAAAAATAGAAAAAATAATTTTAAAAACACATTCGAGATACAGAATGATCTTTTGTAATTCTAACGCACGTAGAGTTAAAAAATTCATCTCAATTTCGGCAAGACGAGACTTGTTACTAATGAAATTAAAATATCTTTGGGGGTTGCAAGTGTCTGCTCGCAATTAATTTATCGGGCGAAATGACGAGATTGTTGGGGGCACATTCAGGCTTCCTGGCGAGGAGGTACGTGATACCTCCAATGGTCCTTGTCTCGCGGATTTCCGGTTGTCCGTAAACGTTCGTCCCCTGCATCGCTTGCACATCCACGCGTTTCGCTCCTTCGGCGTTCGGTTTCTCACCAGTGTCACCGCCGGGACGATCGATCCTTATCGCACCCGGTGCATCCGGTCGTCGCATACTCGCAACATCGCCCTGGCCGCCATTGTGACCGGCCAAATTCTTACCGTTTAGATAGTATTGCTGCGTCTGGTGATAATGTTGAAGTGGAACATTCGCGTATTGGAAGGTCATGATGTTGTCATCGTTATGTCCTTGCGCTGCAGGTACATTCTGTCGATCGTAAGGAATAATCGATCTCGCGTCTTGCGTGCAGGAAACTGCGTGATCTCGCGGATTCCATTGCTGTTGATCGCCATTGATTGCTACCGCGCCGTTTTCCTTTTCGGCTTGCATGCTGTAAATTCTCGCGTTCTGTCTCTGTCGCGGATATTCCATCATCGCGGGCTCGTTTATTGTCTTAGGTCGCAGGATACATGGTACAGGATTATTAGGATTTCTTTTGTTCTCCAAACCGTTTGCCGAGATCTCTTTCTGAGGCTGCGGGGACGTTTCTACAGGTGGTCGCGAGCGCATATCTTCCGGGATTTCATTAGAATTTTGAACACCATTTAGTCTGATGGTGGGTTTCTTCTTGGTTATATTAGCTAGATATTCGAGGCCTTTTCTACTCGACGGATTTTTCAATGTTTCCAGCACTTTCTGTATATTGTTTGGATCCTGCAAGCCATTATTGAGCTTCTGAGGACGAATCACTTCTTTGTACATCCGCATTTTTAACAAACTAGAAGGTTCGATGGATCTTTTATTCTGCTCGAAACGTGCAGTATTCATTGACATTATCTGATTGTCACTCAAATTCGATGAATTTGAATTATGTTCGTTGTGCCAAATTTTCTGTTGCTCAGGATGCAAATAATATGGATTATAACGAATGTTATATGGCATGCATTTGTTAAAAGTTGAGTTTACCTGATAATATGTATTATTTAACATATTTTGCTGATGACTATAAGGATTACATGTTGCATAACCACATGGAATTTGGTGATTTTATTATTATATGGCCAGTTAATCATCTGTTGCTGCCATAATTGGTGAGGGTTCATCTGAACGTACATCTGTTGAGGCAAAATAGCTTGATCATTTATTTCTTGTTTTTTCTGTCGATAATAATCGTGTTGTCGAGCAGACATTGTTCTATTAACTTCTTCCGGCAATTGATTGTTTGTTAAATATTGTTTCTTCTGATCTCTCTGTTGTGCCTTTAGTCTTTCAATTTCGTTATAGGATATTCGCGGCGGCGTAATATGCATCATCCATTCCGGCTTTTCTTCTTTTTCTATTCTTCTTTGCGTAAGTCGAATTTTTTTAACATCTGGAATATCTTCTTGCTGTTGAAATTGTGTGAGATAAATCAAATGCTTTTGCTGCTCATTTAGCAATGCTGCAAATTGACGGCGCATGACCTCTTCAGGTATACCTTGTTGTCTCATGGTGGAAACTAATAATTCCTGATCGCGTATCATGTCAGGTGTGAATTGCAGTTTCCTTTTTCCATCATTTTGTTGATTGCAAATTTCCGATTGCCGATGATTAGATTTATGATTTTGTGATGGATTAAATTGACCTTGGCTTCTAGAATCTTTCTGATTAAAATTAGTATCTTGATGATAATATTGCCACTGTTGCGGAAATTGTTGATGCAGATGTTGCTGATTTGCCGATTGGATCCATCGATTATTTTGCGACCATGTCGGTTGAAAATTGACAGGATATCCAAGATTCTGATTGTGGATAGGCAAATTATGTTGTAGCAATCTCATTTGACTCATTGTCATGTCTTGCGGTGAAGTCATTCCATGTCCAGAAACTTGCGTTGCAGATAATTGTTGATTGTAATGACCATAAAATGGTTCTGAATTATTACGTAGATGTTGTCGCTGATCGAGCATTAGTGGTTGCATTTGATTGAACGCTTGCGGCAATATTTGGTGGTACGCGTTGTGCTGCGTTTGTTCATTGATCTGTTGAGGATTTTGCTGAAATGTATTATGCAACTGAGCATGATAGACATTTCGACAGTTATTGGCACATCGATCACTGAATCGTGCATTTGCGTCCTGTACGATCGCTGCCTGCTTCGGTTGTATGAAAATTTGTTTATCATTAATCGCGTTTCGGCCACCGATCGATTGCCTTTCATATCCATTAACCAGAGAAGTTTCATTGCGATTTTGATCGATAATTGCACGCGAATTGTTCGAAGATTGTTGCGCTTGCGACATTGCGACTTGCGTCGAAGGAGTTTGAATGATTACTGGTTGATTAATCATCGCGGATGGGTTTCGAAGTGATCGATCACAGGCGATTGTTTCTTGGAGCATGTTTAATACGAAAGGATGTTTTTGGGAGATGTAATGGGTTGAATGAGCATGTTTTCAGAGTGTGGATTTGTTTGACAGATCTGATGTTGGCTAGCTATAACCTGTTGCTGCTCCGTGTCGGATGTATCCTGTGATTACATGACGTAGATCGAATTAATAAAAGAATTGTTTTATCCTTTTGTATAAAAGAATCATATTTAACAATGATCGAAAATGCAGTTTTATCGTATTATGTATATATAAACATATGTTACGATATGTTTAGATATTTATTATATTTAACATGTGTAAATTTCTTTCACATTCTTTTTCATATATTAATTAATTTGAAATATTTAAATTGTTTTGTTTTACTAAATTAAATTATAATTTAAATTTAAATAACAATTAATTAAAAATATTGTATAAATTAATTTAAAATGAAGAAAGAAGCAATTTTTTAAGATTTACTTTTGATTGTTGATGTGACGATAATTTAGCAGGTAATGCATCGCCCTGACCATTATTACTTCTGCTGGAAGAGTTCGCGAAATAAGTTTCCCGAGGCTCTTGTGCAATTAAAGCATCGTTTGTTTCAAGCGAGAACATTGGCTGGTTGTCCAGTTTTTTTATTTTTTCGGCAGGAAAACTTTTGAGTCGTGGTGAGGAAGTGGAATATGCTTTTTTCGATCTGTCTCGAGAATTGAATCTGGTTTTTGGTTGCATCTCATTCGGCAGCATTCTTTTTTGATCGTTTTCTGACTTCGGCAAATTATTTAACGAATGCGATTTGTCCAAGTTCTGTGTAGACGGCGATTTTGTAGATTGCGAATGTTCCTGATGGTTCGTATTGGTCTCTGGCAAATTTGCCACACTCGGATGTGCAGGTGACTCTTTGTACTCAGAATCTTTCTCGGCAGAGACTTTCCTGAAGAAGAATTTACTGAATGGGGAAATCTTCTAAATGTATTAATTTGTATTCTCTGAACCATTCTTACCTCTTTTTCATTATCGTTAATTTTGCTTAAATGCTAATTTGGGTAACGCGATACTTGCTGTCAAAAAGTCATCGTTTTGATAAGGGAAATTCTCAAATCGGATTTTGCGTTACCGAAAAGAAATCGCGAGTTTTGACGTTAAAAGTTAAAAAAGGGACAAGTGCGTGACTAGTTACCATGGATACATATATGTTGTATGTATATTATAAATATGTATATATAGTAAATAGTATATGATATATAGTGTATATACATACACATATATGCGTTTACAAATTATAAATTTATATATATATATATATATTACCAAAAAAGATTTTGTTTTTAATTAAAATAAAGATATTAATATGTAAAATTAATTTTTTATATTTAATTTTATATTTATAAAATTGATACAATAAAATAGCTCACTAGCAGATATACTTGTCGAAAAAGATTGAAAGATACAGAAGATATTTATTCTATATTTAGGGTTTAAATGTATATAATGAAACACAACAAAATTTGTATAATTGCAATATGAGAGTATATTTTATACTTTAGTAATAATTATGTGTTAGCTTTTTTAATTTATAAAACATATTGTAAAACAACATTATATTATATTATGACTCATAATTATGTGTGTACGTGCGTAAAAATTATAATTTTTTATAATGCACCAGAAACATGACAATACAATTAGTTTGAGATATTTAGAAATCATAGAACAAGAATAACATAAAATTTTTTGCTTAAGTAATATTACGAATCTTTCTCGTCAAGAATCCAGTTAAGAAAATTATATTTCTTTTGATTTCATTATATTGAAACTACACATGTAGATAAATTTTATTTATTTTAATGATATTTTATCTTCTTCTTTGATAAAACTTTTTAAAATAGTAGATATCTTTCTCTTCTAGGAAAAATAGACATTGTCTATTTTATTATCTTAATTCATGACTAATTCTATTATCAGAATAGAATACGGATAATCGACTTCACTATTTATTCACGTTTTCAATATTCCTTGCAAATGAAAAAAAATTTCTATTATAAATTTTTACACAAATAATAAAATGCATTAATTGCATGAAAATAGCTAAGAGAAATATGTTAAAATAATGTTATTTAAATATCTGTTTAGAAATGTTAAGATATATTTTTTACAAAATCTTAACAATACTTACTTTAATATAAGTTATATCATGACAGTATTCTATAATTTTAAATCGTACAACTGAAGCGTGTTGTTTAACAAGCTCGCACTTTTTACTCTTTACATAAACTCATGACGTAACTTCACTGCATGCAGTTGCATAATTATCAGTCACTCGCCAATTAGAACACTTTCTAACAGGGGGACAAGGTGCTGCGAAATGAGAAACTTACATTAATCTTAACAACAAATTCTCCTAAAGAGAAATATGGTAATAAACTTACGGCAAAGCATCCTGCCAGATAAAGGGCGCATCTCTGTCTGCTTTGAACAAGGTGGCATGCAGGGGACGCAATCTGTCTTGCAAACGTAAAAGCAAGGTGGCAAAGGGGGTGGTGGGGGTGGCAAATATGTCACTTCCATTTTCGGTGGATAGGACATGGGGCAGGTTGAACAGGGTGGCAGATAAACCTTTCATACAAGTTTTTCTTAGCTATCTTTTACTTTAAGAAAGTAATTATATTAGCCGAAAATAATCGCGTACATCTCAATCTCAAATAATTTGAAACATTTGCACGTGTCTCATATATATATATTTTATATATGAGATAAAATATATCATCTGCGTCTGTGTTTTATATCTCAATATGTACGAGAGAACAACAAATTTACTCGAAATTAAAATACAATGGAAAAATTGCTTTAAAGTTTAAAATAATACTATGAGATATTTTGATATCGTGATATCTGCTACAAATAAACTTTATCTTATCACAATTCATTGTCAGTACGATATAAACACGTCCATTATAAACATGTTGATACATTTTTCACATTACCACAATGTATAGCATTTCTGCTCAGAAAAAATTAGAAAGAAAACAGGAATTTATATTATTTCGCATAACAAACATACCACCGCTTTAGTGGGTTTCGGTGTAGACTGAAGCCGACAAGCTATCCTACATTGGACACGGGGCACGTGAGGCATGCAGGGATAGCTCACAGGTGGAGTACAACAAATTACAGGGCACGGGATTGAACATGCCGGTAAACAGCAAGATGGAGAAAGATTCAAATTACTACAATTTCTGAAATTTAATATATGCACATTATTGAATAATCCAAGATAATTATTACAACCAATAACAACGTACACATTATTTGATTAATATTGCGTATATTTTTCAATATATTTTATATTTATTCAATTTAGAAAAAAATTGGTTTAATTTTATGTGCATAAAATTCTTTTTAATTCTCACATTAATAAATAATTTTTAAAATTTATTTCGTTTCCGTCTAAAAAATTAATTAATTGCAAATGGAGTTATTTACACAAAATTTAATGCAATAATAATGGTAGAAAAATGTTTGAAATCGCGTTAGCGCGGTAATCTTTCTGATAAAATCATATTAGAATATAATAATTTTTTAATTAAAATTTACCTCGACATGGTGTGCTAAAAGTATATTCTGGATGTTAATGTTAATAATTGATAATCTATTTGTTCAGAATTCCAAAATGTGTAAATTGATAAAGTTAATGACAGTTAATTTTCTTATCGTCGTAAAAATTATTCAGATTACTTAAAATTTTGTCAGTTGCTTGCCTAGTCACACTTAAAAATTTTTTTAAGTTAATCTCTCATGATCATGAATTGGCTAAAGATTATTTAACAGTAACCTTGGTGACGTAAAACGATAAATCGATTTTCGCGGAATGAATCACATTCGGTGATTCCCGTTTCTTTCTCATTTCAATGTATACAAGGCGTGACGAACATGAATTGCTATTTTTGTAGTAGATGTAAGTGTTAAGTAATATTTATCACAGATAAATACACAAAAGACCTTGGATTAGTGTCTACATACGCTAATCAAATATTCATAAGATTTCGTAAAAATTACAAGCATTTATGATCTCGGTGCGAATAAATTACAAGATTTTATAATTTATATCAGTATAATTAAAAATTTAATTATAACAAAAGATATTTAATTCAGATAAGAAATATTGTTATCAGCTTTCAGTATTAATAATAATATAAATATAAAATTTTTATATTTATATTAAAATAAACTTTATATTTTATATTTATATTTATATTAAAATAACAGAAAAGATATTTAATATTCAATGCTTCAAATTGATAAATGGATTCTTTCTAAAGAGAAAATTAATTCAAAATTCGTGAAAAAAATATTGTAATAGAAATTAATGTGAAAGATAACTGAGAATTTTTTAAGAAAAACGGATACGTCAAAATATAAACACTCTCTAATTAGTTAATTTTCGTAATTTGTATACGCGTTATGTTAATTTGCCAGTTGTGAGTAAAAATGTTAGCTACATTCGAATTTGAATACTTGATAAACAACATTTGCATACTATTGATAAAAAGTATTCAGTCTAAATGGACTTTAACCGCCAGCGGAAATCAATTTCGTCACAACTGTTGGACTTTAGACAAAAGGATTTCTTTTATAGGAAATGCAACTGCCACCGCATGTCCATGTTCGACAATGCCCTCGATACACATTCAACTGATACATTCCAGTAATGGTTCGCGAGCTCGACTAAAAGGCTTGTAACAAAGCAGTGCCGTATCTTTGTCGCAATATCTGCATTCAACAATAGATAATGATTTTAACATTCTGTGTCGGAATAATAAATAAATGTAATATAAGCGATAAAATACGCAGACATGATTTAAATATTTCAAAATTTACACCGAGAATTAAATAATCAAAGTAAATTTTATTTTATATTTAAAAATAATATGCAAAATAACTTTACATCAAATACAGCTATATGTATCAAATTTATATAGTTTATCATAATTATGTAATAATATATATGTATAAATATACAATTATATGTTTTAAAGTTTCAGCGTTTATATTTATTTGTTAGCATTTTTTAAAATTATTATTAATACATTATTATTGCATTTGTGATTGTTATTGCTGAATTCATGTAATTATACGTGATGTAAGAAAGAGTACAAACTCACATATACATATATTATTCAATCTATATTTATTATGAAATATATGTATTATAATACCGGTGAATGAGTGAACGTAGAATGACAGTTCGTATATCTCGCTATGCAAGCACAATATATAATAATACATATAGATTAAACGGGATTAGCATTAGACTGATGGGGAACTGACTACGTCACACAGAATCCTGGTCCATTCGGCGGCTGGGCAGGAATACCTCGTCTATTCATACGACAGGCGTGCTCTTCCAGACGTTTAGCAGCAACGCTGTTTTCTTGCTTGTTAAAACTCCACAAACGTTCGGCTGCCGCGCTCGCACGTGGCCAGATCCTCGAGTGCAAGTTATTTCTAAAAATAAACAGCAGTTAGACGAAGAAGTTCGACGTACATTCACTCGAGTCTCAGAGATAAAATAAACAACCGTCTGTCTGTGCTATTTTATTGCTTACGTACTCATTGTTGTAAATTATTAGAAATCATTTTCACATAAAAAAATGACAGAGAATTATTATAGAGAATTATTTGCGGCAAATTTATCATAAAATTCTGCTTTAATTTTTAACAATTATATTTTTTTTATCGTCAATTTAATTCTTATCAGTTTAAGTCGAAATCTTGATTTGAATCGTGCGCGTTATAATTGAAAGAAAAATCGCCATTGTCTAATTAATTATAAGACTATCTATTTATAAGACTTAGATTTTTCCATACAAACACCGTTAAAAAAGAGAGATTGAGTACACTCACTTGTCGACAAACTCTGCCCACATGCAGGCTTCACCGCCGAGCATTAGATGAGTGGCATTGGCCGCATTGGCGAAGTCGAAGGGATTGCAATTGTAATATTTCTCCCAATCACCGCCGCTGGCGAGATGGTCCAGATACCAGCAAGACGATAGCAAGACCGGATGTCCTGCCAACGTCGCTCTCTCGAGCTCCTTTTGCCAACTCGGTAGTTTCCAAACATGCACTACGGTAGTTGTAGGTAGGACGACGCCATTATCGAAAACCTATAAGTTGCAGTTTGCACATATAATAAAATTATTTTAAAATAAAAATACGATTATATAATAATTATATGACACAAAGAATTGTGTCAACTATTAGTTTAAAAAACGTAAGAAAAGCACTTACTTCTTGCCACACAATAGTGTTGGCGTCGAGGCCTCTACTGATCGCAAGTACGTTGGCTATGTATTGGTTTTCGAGCAGCTCGTATCTCTTGGACATATTGTGTCGCTTCATGTACTCGCCAATTTCCGGATTGCTGCCCCAGCAATCGAAGGGTACTTCGTCGCCACCCAGGTGGAGATATTGATCCGGGAACACTTGCACGATCTCGGAGAACAAATCTTGTACAAAGTTGTACAGCGCCGAATTAGTTGGGTTCATTGGACCTAATTTACCGTTTGGCTTCCCAGAAGAATCTGATATGGGCATAAAAATAGATTGACATGATTTTTCAAAGATGATATTAATATATTTAACAGCTGATTCTTCAATCTGTCTTATTCAACAACGAATTCAGTTTGATAAAATAATAATTCGAGAAGATTACAAAGTGAAAAATGTACAAGAATATCACATATTATTAGAACAAATGTTGCTTTGTTTAATTTACCGTAACACACGGTTAGTAATTCCGGATGGGCCAAACCCCACGACCTAGTGTGTCCAGGTGTATCGAACTCGGGCATCACTCGAATCCCCCGTAATCTCGCGTAATCGACGACCTTTTGCACGTCATTAGGTGTATAGACCATCGAATGATGGTAAGCGCCTTTAGCAGACAGATCGGGATACCTGGTGCTTTGATATGGGAAGCTATTATCATCGACGATGTGCCAATGAAGAACGTTCAGCTTGTTGTACGACATTGCATCCAGTGTTAGCAGGATGTCAGACAGGGGTTGATAATGGCGAGAGGTATCCAGCATGAGACCGCGATGCGGCAGTTTCGGTTCATCCACGATGGTCTGGCATTTTACTTTCAACTGTGACACATTAAATTCACGACTTTTATTTATATCGGTTTGTTCGTGCGAACGAGAATTATAATATCTGTGCAAAAAAGGAAAAAGAAAGAAAGAAAATGATTATAAAAAAACTTATAAGCGTTGCAGCCCTAAAAATTATTTTTCTTTTAACAAATGAATTTACAGGAATATGCATATTTAAATAAACTAAAATTTCGAATATTTTACAGCATTTTATATTTTGCATTTTGCAGATAAAAAATATAAATATTGAAATATAAATATATTTACGCTCGGGCCGTCGCCGGATGGTGCCAATATCTGAGAGAAGGTCTCGAGGCCTCGAAGGATTCCCCAGACGGCTTCGGCCCGGAGAACGGCGATTGATGATGTTTCATTTATCTCGAGTTTATCTGTGAAAAAATATGTTAAACAGTATGAAGAAAAATATGGATAAAATCATAGAATTCTCGCTCGCTAATCACTAGACACGACTTTATACCATTTAATTTACGCGATAAGAAACTAGGAAGTTGTCTTATTGTCCGTCTTCGTCTCAATTATTTTGCTGATTGCGCTATTATTGCACAATTTTCTGGAAGTTCTTACACGTGTTCGGCACGCGCATGTTCCCGTCACACGCATGCAATCATTTTGATTTAATGATCTAACTATGTAAATTAAATGTGATTCTCTCTACAGTAATTTTGACAAGATTTAGTCATAGCGAAAGAGAATTAATTTTAAAAATAAATTACTAATTTTATTATTATTCGCATGAATTGTTACAAACCTTATGTAGATTAAAAAACAAATTTGTTTATTTTATAATTTTAAAATATGAATGATATTATAATTCTCTCTCTCTCTCTCAACATACAGTAATATTTTTATAATTCTTTAAAATGCAAATAATTAAGAATACTAAAATATGTAAAACAAATAATAAATAAGCAATTATAGTTAATTATAATTATAATTATAATTTCTATCTTTGTTAAACATGGACGGAGTTAAACATGGACATTTTAATGAGTTTTTACCGCGTTTACTTGTTACAATTTATTGTTTATTTATCAACATATTGTTTAATACGCATAGACTTTCAGGAAATCCATCAAATCAATGTTAAACATAACGTTGATAAGAGAAGACGTTATTAAAAGCCGGAAAAATTTAATTTGCGCACACGCAAGCCCGTTATCGACGTAAGTCGACGAATGTTAGGTCGGAGCTACGAGTGAGCTGCTCACTGGCATCATTCAATTAATTTGTTGGTGCACTATTACTTTGTAATGCACGCTGCACATGCAAAGCGAGCAACCTCACTGGTCGCTGCACACGGAACATTCATCCGAATCGTGAATTAATATACATAGTACAAAAGATGCAGATTTTTTTCTATTTATTCAAGAATTGAGTAATCAATTTTATCTGCTGTTTCGCACATAAATTATTAAACAGCTTTCTAATTTAACAAATATAATTATTTGTCAAATTAACGAAATTAAAAGACGATGTTTAAGCATCTGTATTAGATAATATAATTTTATATAGTTACGACTTACAAGATTCATTCATATACAAGTGTGGCCAATGATCGCCATTCTGTTCGCAAGGTTGCAAAAGGCGGATGTTTAGGGCTTCAAGAGTGCCTTTAAAGTGGGGATCATCCCGAACGGATGTTCTTGGCTGCCCTTCCGTGACTAACCTCGCTATCCTTGCTTCCGTCAAAATGATTCTCATGTACCGTTCTATCGCCTCGCTTACTATATCGCATGTCTCGCCATTTACCTTTGAATAATAATATTATTTAAAACGAGACAAAGTCAGAATAACATATTTCAAAATTCCAAAAAGTATAAAAGTAATTAAAAGAAACTTTATAGGAAATAATGTTTTAATTTACATTAGTATAAAAATAATTAAAAGAAACTTTATAGGAAATAATATTTTAATTTACATTATTTAGAAATATAATATTTAGTAAAGAAGATATATCATATTGAAAAAATAAAATGAACAGAAGGGAGAAGTAAATCATAGAAGCCAAAGTTGGATTGCCAAAAGCTAAAGATTTAGCTTTTGGCAATCCAACAAAACAGTTTTATTAAAGTGATTACACTTCATAGATATATGCAAATGTTACGTTATTTTATCACGAAAATACGATAAAACTGGAAATAACAAAATCATGTACTTATAATAAGATATTGTTCACTCTTCCAATTTTTTATTTCACGAGTAGAAAGATTGTCGAAAGATTTGAACTGATTATATGAGTTCATTCTCCGCAGTTTGACGAGAGATAAAGTGTATTAAAAATCAAAATAAAATAAGACTCACTCGAATATCGAAGTTGGACGGTCGCAATAGATAGAAGTCTTCTTTCACCACACGCGAATTTGGCAATGGCCAAACTTCGCCCTTTGTGGCTTCAAACCATGGACCCGCGTCCGCATGCCAGTCGCAGGTCGCCCAGGGCGCGGCGATCACCAGGATCAGAATGATCCCGCGGCTCCACATGTTCGTCTAGCGTTAGGGAGAGCGATTTAGGTATACGATCGAGGAACGATGCGTCGTCGCCGAGTGGTCATCGTCTACTGACGATCGCAGGATGCCGCAGAACCGTATGCACCACGTATGTGTGATAGTGGTAACGACCTTAGCCTGCGCCACTTAAGTTTTATCACTTTGGTCCCCGAGAGAGCTTCACGGTCAAGTGGGAATAACCAATCCTCGTGCAATCGGCGTAATCTCCGTTTATCATTAAATCTGTGGTTGCACATTTTCAAAAGGGCCATTCCAAAAAGTCTTCTCGTATTGTGACATAGACGTTTGTGCGTCAATTAATCTTGATGATCCTGTAATTTCTTGATTTTTGAAGGAACTGACGAAGAAACTAAAATATTCTCAAATTCTTCTTCTCTTTTATATATATATCTTTTTATTTTGCAGTACTTTTGATATTCATATTATTAATCTATAATGATGACATGATATGCCTCATTAGTTAGATAAAAGCAGACTCCATTTATTTCTGTTGCATTTATTAATCATTTTTGAATCATTAATAGATAAATAGATGATATATGTATTTATCTATTAATGAGAGGTTAAAATAGCATAATAAAAAGCTGTCAAATGAGATTATTTCTGGAGTTGATATTTTGTTTTTATTTACGAGGCCTATTGTTACACTATATACGTTTTTATACATCTATAAAATTACTTTTTGTTTACGTCAAGTTATAAAGTTACATAAAATTTTAAGAAATATTACTAAATATGTTAATTTAATTTTTTATTGAATTTTTTTAAAGATTTTTTAAGAAGACAATAACACGATTAGATTACATAATGGAATAACAAACACTCTAAAGTAATTGCGACATACAATATTTAATCTCATTTAAAGCTTAATCTTTAAAAATCTTTAATCTTGAATTCTATATTTGTTCAATCTTTTTTTATGACATTTATTATTATTTAGATATAATATCAATTAATTATTTTTTACAAAATGTTGACAAGATGTTTTATAATACCTTTATCAATGATAAAAAACGTATTTTTTAAATTAATTTATTTTGTAAAACATATAACAAACATACAACATATGTAATAAATTATTTATCAGCTATTATATCTTTAAATGTTTACATGCGATAAAATTTATTTTGCCTGTTAAACGTATCATTTGTAAAAATATTTGATAGTGCATCGATCGTATAAGGTATTATTTATAAATAATATTGTGTATCTTGTGGGTAAAGAGATCGCTTTTTATCACAACTGTGTTATTATCGAAAGATTTAACAGAAAGCTATAAACAGTCGAGTCCAAAGGTCAATGGTCTCTCGATTGCTCTGGCATCAACGTCGACGAATTTATTATTATGGTACAGCGATCGATTATTCGATAATATTCATGATAATTGGTCTGATTTTTCTAATTTTTTTACTAACTTTATCTTATTTTTTTACTATCTTTAAGATACTAATTTTATCTTCATCTTTAAGATTTAACTATATCGGATAGATAAAACTATCTCGAGTTATTTCAGAACTTTTCAATATATTTTCGAGCAAGTGTTATACAAAAATATTTGATTAGTCACCCTTTGCGTAATTTTCCGTGCCTAAAAAATGTGGATCAATTCAATGAGTTAGTCGCTATTAGATCTGATAATTAAAATAAAATAAGAGTCGTACAAAATATTAAAACAATAAAATATAAAAATTAATCTTTAACTTTATATTTATTCAATGTACATGTATACTTTATCGATCGATTTGATTGATTTTCTTCGTTGAAGTGTAACGAAAAGATTCTATACATGATTATAATGACATACAATTACGCAAAAACAATCACATTCAAGGCAAAATGCACACAAGATAAGACTGCATTTATTAAATACTTAAAAATATCTAGAACACTTTGATATGATATCATATTAATAACATCACGATCTTTGATTATGCATGTTTGCTGTTTATCTGATTTTTCCAATAAATTCATTTACAAGCTAATTCTTTAAATTCAACAATTTGTGTCAGAAATTTACTAATTTTGCTTTTAAAACAAATATACAAACAAAATAAAATAAAATACATACTTTTAAAAATATTGTATATAATTATATTAATTGATATCTAGTATTATAATTAATTAGAAATTACTACACGAAAATAGATCAACTTTTCCGAATATATATATTGTATTAAATTTCTTTAAATTTCTCTCTCCTTCTTTTTTTATCTTTAAATCTATAAAGAGAATATATATTAATATTTTATAAGTTCTATATCTTTCTTAATGTTACATATATTTTAAAATAAATCGCAAAATTTATTTGCTAAGTTTATAAATGCAATTAAAACACAAGATAAAAGATTATAAATTTTAACAGCACGTTACACGCTAATCAGAAACAAATGTTAATTAATCGCGCTATGCGTTGTAAATGTTTTTCCACGTAGTAACGACTCGTGTCATAATGTTACGCTCGGTACTACTTTTATTGCGTCAGAGAGATCGCCTTAATTTAATTCTGTGATGATACGCTACTGCTCGGTGAATCGTAGCTTCATTGATTGCGCCTCTCGTACGCCGGGTCGACGGTTGTCAGGGGGCGAAGAGGGAAGAAAATCCAAATAGAACGTGTGCATTCAGGGTTGGAGCACGAGGTTAAAGTGCCACAGGAAAGCTCGGGAAATAGGTGCTTCTGTCATTTTTTCTACATAAAATCATATTCACTATAAACTACTGCAGCAACAAGTGATAACACAAGTCTGGCTAAACTTTAATGGATGTAAACTTGCATTAATTTTCTGGAACATGTCTGATAAACACTTCGTGAATATTAAATTAGAAATTTTATTTTAAATATTATATAGTAGTAACAATAATAGCGCAGCGACATTTAAGGGAAATTGAATTAAGTAAAACCGTATTAAAAACGTGTTGGAATGTATCTGTAACGTATATTTAAAGTACGTGTATGTGCAAAGAATCTTGATTATATTTACAATTAAAAGTCTTCGATTGTGCTTAGAGTTAAAAATAATTATCTTTAAAGAAAAAATCTAAGACGTAGCATTATATATTGATTAGTGGATCATTTTTGCGTAATTTCTCGTAAAAGAAAATACAGCATATGTTCTCTAAAAATTAATACTAATTTAAAAAAAGCACTTTTTATTTTTACATCTCTTATTGCAACGTATATATTTTTTAAAAAAGATTCTTACGTACGCAAAGCAAAATAATGATTGTATAGTAAAATAATATTTAATAATTAATGGCAACCCACTGTTTTAAAAATTATATTAAAAAATAAATAACTAATTGTATTTTTTGAAAATAATTCATGCAAATACATATATATATATTATACGATAAATTCCCTCAATTCTATTTTACGGATCCACGCATTGTTAATGTTATATTTAATTTATTGATTAATTTATCTGAGATTAGAATTTTTTTAGATTGCAATTTTTTCGCTGACGCTCGAAAATTCTTAAATTTCTTCGCAAAGTTTACCAGCCAGTGGCATCGTGTAGTTGCATGGTACCCTGCATTCTCGAGCACACACACACAGATCCGCGCGTGCATCTGCGCATTAGGAAACCACCCCGAAGGTGGGGCGGCCACCAGGTAGGGTAGTCAGGGATGATGAACGGGATGAGGGGTACAATTGGAGAAGAGAGAGGGGAGAATATAAAAAAAATTCAACGGGTGATACTCTTCGGCGTGTTAGCTGTCGCGATGACGTCGATGACGTTGATCAGTGGCGCTGCCAACGCTTTTACCTTGGTTCCCTAATGTACATATACGTGTGTACAATATCTCTCTCTCTATATATATATAACACATATACACACTTCTGCATATATATATATCTGGTACCACGAGATAGTGACGTAGAGCGTACTCGAGGGGTAAGAAATGTGACTCGCGGTGACGTTTCTAGGAAGATGGCGCCAATGTTAGCGAAGCCGGCAGTCGTGGCTGGTGGTGGTGGTTGGCGATGGTGATGATGCTGATGGTGGTGGTAGGTAAAGGGTGGCCTCTCTCGCACGATCGCCGGCTGGTATTAGAGTACTTTCTCAGTGCGCGCGTATATCCGTCGCGCGTCGTGTCGAAGCTCCTCCTCGTCTGTTCCGAGGGACTTTCGGTGGTGACACATACATATATACGTAAACGGGTCGCTGCGCCGGGGTAGTAATCGCGCAATCGCGAGGAGTAAACGTGTGTGTGTGTGTATACATACATATATACGTGTGGGGTGGCTGGCCCGTGTTCGACTGCGCGAACGATAGAGACAGAGAGGGTGGAGTGAGAGCGCGAGGGTGGCGAACGCCGGTGTCGGTGGTGGCGTCAGTGCACGGAAGTGGCTGTGCTCCGGTAGTGGACGGTGGATAGTGTAGTGCGGTTGGCCGGTTGGATCGGTGGGTCGGTGGGTTGATGAGCCGTTCGTCTCGCGTCGCCGTCGCGTCTCACTGAGAATCGTGCGAAGAGCCACGGGCATCGTCCACGAGCGGCGAGACGACGACGACGACGACGACGGAACCGGAAAAAGGAGAGCGAGGGAGAAAGAATGAAATCGATAAGAAGGGACCTTAGGCGCTGGTTTCGCAAAACGGGAACGCCGGTGCGCGACGTATAAAGGGAGAAAGAGAAGAAAAGAGAGGACAGAGGGTGATATATATCTTAAGCCCTGTAAAAGAGAGTGTGTGAGTGTGTATCCGTGCGCCGACGACAAACGCACGCGACGTGAACGGAAGCGACATAGTACGCACGCAGGCGCGGAAGCTCGCACACACGAGGGTGGAAACGCGAGAAAGGGAACGTAATCGGCTCGGTTCGTCGACTTGGCTCGCTCGCGGAAGGGCGGTTCTTGGAATTCGGAACGTCGTGACCGGAGGCCAGAGGGAGAGAGCGAGAGAGACCGGGAGAGACGTTCGTTCGTTCGCATCGCGTGAAGAGAAACAGGAAGACGGAGGAAGAGGGAGTCGACTGCCCTCTCTTTCTCTCTCTCTCCCCCTCGATCTCTATTCGCTCTCGCTCGATGGGCTACGCCACCGAAAGAAGGTCAAAGATCGATCCTCGGGCCGACGAGGGTCGTGACCTCGCCGTATGCCGCCGCCGAGTAC